GTATTCTGTTACTAGTAACATCCTCATTTCTGAAGCAGTCTTGTGGGGGTATTAATCACATTTAGTGATAGTTCTAGTTTGAATAAGAATAGATTTAACCACTAATCTAATTTGAAGAAATAGATTGGTCAGTGATCTATGTATTATGGCAATCTTCAATTGTATAGAAACAAAAAAATATGCTCTTACTGTTTAGTATTGTATTAATGCGGTGGCATAGCATTTTTCACAAATGCAATCTTGTCTTAAAATGAAAGATCTGGAATCAGCACTTTCTGGTAGTATTTATGCAGCCATAGAAATGTAAAAAAAAAGAAAATGCTGCCTTAAAAATCTTCTATTAGCACTCCATAAACATTAAAAATAATCTGACACAAATCTTGATCCAGTTTGCTCAGGTCATATGTATATTACACGTCAATTTGATAACACATTGATTGCATCATGTTTACCATATTTGGCAGTAGGGAGTAGACGCTACATCACTTGTTACCTGTAATACATGTAATCTGTGTAATTGAGGCAGAGTTTTGTAGAGTTTGTTTTAAGAGTACTGACTACTGGATGATAATTGGACTTAATTATTTTGTCCCTCTGGGTGTTAAAACAGGTATTATTTATCTGATTAATGGACAATTAAAAGGTGTGAAAGTCGTTTTAATCAGACAAAGCAATGCATTGGGACCAGACAATTAGGGTCGCTTGTCACATATGACGGAGTCTTATAATTTAGACCATTTATATAAGGAAATACGTTTGGAGGACTGAAACAATGTCGGATAAGACAGGGAGTCGTTTAAATCAGGGGGTCGCTAAGACAGTCTAGACTGTATATTTATATTATATATCTTTTTCTTTTTTCTTCTGTAATACACATGGGGATATATTAAAAAAGGATTCGGGGCATCCGTGGCCTAGTGGTTAAGGTCGTTGACTTCAAACCACTTGCCCCTCACTGCTGTGGGTTCGAATCCCGACAAGGACTTTGGATTCTTTCATGTGAGGAAGCTATCCAGCTAGCTTACGGGACGTTGGTGGTTCTACTCGGGTGCCCGTTTGTGTCTGAAATAATGCACGGAAGGGCACCTGAGGTCTTCCTCCACCAGTAAAGCTGGAACATCGCGGTATGACCTATACTGTGTCGATGTGAAGTAAAACCCAAACAAACAAAAAAGCATTCATACTTTGACAAGACTAATGTGACAAGATACACCGATTAAATTTATAGAAAGGAAACGTTAAGATTTGTTCAAACTTTTTTTTGTTTTCTTTTAAAAAAGTAAAAAGTCAAGCATTGCTCCCGCCCGACGGTGGCTCTTGTTTAGCTCACCTGACAACGAAGTGGTCCAGGTGAGGTATAGTGATGGGCTATGATGGCGTCGTGCTTTGGGTTGTTTACACTTTAGCAGTCACAGTTTTGATTGGATCATCATCAAACTTTGTCAGAATATTTGTTTCAATGAAATACAGGTCAAGTTCGAAGAAGGGTCACCTTGGGTCAAAAACTAGGTCACAGGAGCTAAAAATAGCAAAAGCTTGTTAACACTCTAGTGGCTGCAGTTTTGATCCAAATATTCTGGAAATTTGTCAGGAAGGTTGTTTTGATGATTTCCAGGTCAAGTTCGAAGATAGGTCATCTCCAGTCAAAAACTAGGTCACAGTAGCTAAAAATATGAAAGTCTTGTAAACACTCTAGTGGCTGCAGTTTTGATCCAAATATTCTGGAAATTTGTCAGAAAGGTTGTTTGATGATTTCCAGGTCAAGTTTGAAGATTGGTCATCTCTGATCAAAACTAGGTCACAGGAGCTAAAGTAGAAAATTCTTGTTAACACTAATGGCTGCAGTTTTGATCCAAATATTCTGGAAATTTGTCAGGAAGGTTGTTTTGATGATTTCTAGGTCAAGTTTGAAGATGGGTCATCCCGGTCAAAAACTAGCTCATATGAGCTAAAAATAGAAAAATCTTGTTAACACTAGTGGCTGCAGTTTTGATCCAAATATTTTGGAAATTTGTCAAGAAGGTTGTTTTTATGACGTCTAGGTCAAGTTCGAATATGGGACGTTTCTGGTCAAAAACAATGTCACAGGGGCTAAAAATAGAAAAATCTTGTTAACACTCTAGTGGCTGCAGTTTTGATCCAAATATCTTTGAAATTGGTCAGGAAGGTTGTTTTGATGATTTCTAGGTCAAGATGGAATATGGGTCATCTCCGGTCAAAAACTAGGTCACAGGAGCTAAAAGTAGAAAAACCTTTTAACACTCTAGTGGTTGCAGTTTTGATTCAAATATCCTGGAAATTGATCAGGAAGGTCATTTTGATGATTTCTAGGTCAAGTTTGATTATGGATGACCTGGGGTCAAAAACTAGGTCACACTGCCCAAATATGGAAAAACCTTGTTAATACTCTAATGGTAACATATTGACTTAATTCTCATCAAACTTGGTCAGGATGCTTGTCTAGTTAATTGCTTGGAGGAGTTTGAATATGGGTATCTCTGATGAAAAACTAGGTCACAGGAGCTAAATATAGAAAATCTTGTGAACTCTCTTGTGGCTTCTGTTGTTATCCAAATATCCTGAAAATTTGTCTGCAAGTTTGTTTTGATGATTTCTAGGTCATGATTGAATATGGGTCACTTGGGGTGAAAAGCTAGGTCACACTGCCAAAATATGGAAAAACCTTTTTAACACACTAGGTCACATTTTTGACACAATTGTCATCAAACTTGGTCAGGATGCTTGTCTAAGACATTGCTTGGATGTGATTGATGGGTCAGGGGAGCGATGTAGGGCCATCTTGGCCCTCCTGTTAGTCCCCCTCGGTTTACCGGAGGGGACTTTAGGTTTACCCTCCGTCCGTCTGTCCGTCCCTCCGTCTGTCCGTCAGTCCGTCCGTCCACAAAACTGGATCCCGCGATAAGTTGAAATAGAGTTCGAAGATGGGTTATCTCGGGTCAAAAACTAGGTCACAGGAGCTAAAAATAGCAAAAGCTTGTTAACACTCTAGTGGCTGCAGTTTTGATCCAAATATTCTGGAAATTTGTCAGGAAGGTTGTTTTGATGATTTCTAGGTCAAGTTCGAAGATGGGTCATGTCCGGTCAAAAACTAGGTCACAGGAGCTAAAAATAGAAAAAGCTTGTTAACACTCTAGTGGCTGCAGTTTTGATTCAAATATTCTGGAAATTTGTCAGGAAGGTTGTTTTGATGATTTCTAGGTCAAGTTCGAAGATGGGTCATCTCCGGTCAAAAACTAGGTCACAGGAGCTAAAAATAGAAAAAGCTTGTTAACACTCTAGTGGCTGCAGTTTTGATTTAAATATTCTGGAAATTTGTCAGGAAGGTTGTTTTGATGATTTCTAGGTCAAGTTCGAAGATGGGTCATCTCCGGTCAAAAACTAGGTCACAGGAGCTAAAAATAGAAAAAGCTTGTTAACACTCTAGTGGCTGCAGTTTTGATTCAAATATTCTGGAAATTTGTCAGGAAGGTTGTTTTGATGATTTCTAGGTCAAGTTCGAAGATGGGTCATCTCCGGTCAAAAACTAGGTCACAGGAGCTAAAAATAGAAAAAGCTTGTTAACACTCTAGTGGCTGCAGTTTTGATCTAAATATTCTGGAAATTTGTCAGGAAGGTTGTTTTGATGATTTCTAGGTCAAGTTCGAAGATGGGTCATGTCCGGTCAAAAACTAGGTCACAGGAGCTAAAAATAGAAAAAGCTTGTTAACACTTTAGTGGCTGCAGTTTTGATCCAAATATTCTGGAAATTTGTCAGGAAGGTTGTTTTGATGATTTCTAGGTCAAGTTCGAAGATGGGTCATCTCCGGTCAAAAACTAGGTCACAGGAGCTAAAAATAGAAAAAGCTTTTTAACACTCTAGTGGCTGCAGTTTTGATCCAAATATTCTGGAAATTTGTCAGGAAAGTTGTTTTGATGATTTCTAGGTCAAGTTTGAAGATGGGTCATCTCTGGTCAAAAACTAGGTCACAGGAGCTAAAAATAGAAAAAGCTTGTTAACCACTAGTGGCTGCAGTTTTCATCCAAATATTCTGGAAATTTGTCAGGAAGGTTGTTTTGGTGATTTCTAGGTCAAGTTCGAAGATGGGTCATCTCCGGTCAAAACTAGGTCACAGGAGCTAAAAATAGAAAAAGCTTGTTAACACTCTAGTGGCTGCAGTTTTGATTCAAATATTCTGGAAATTTGTCAGGAAGGTTGTTTTGATGTTCGAAGATGGGTCATGTCCAGTCAAAAACGAGGTCACAGGAGCTAAAAATAGAAAAAGCTTGTTAACACTCTAGTGGCTGCAATTTTCATCCAAATATTCTGGAAATTTGTCAGGAAGGTTGTTTTGATGATTTCTAGGTCAAGTTCAAAGATGGGTCATCTCCGGTCAAAAACTAGGTCACAGGAGCTAAAAATAGAAAAAGCTTGTTAACACTCTAGTGGCTGCAGTTTTCATCCAAATATTCTGGAAATTTGTCAGGAAGGTTGTTTTGATGATATCTAAGTCAAGTTCGAAGATTGGTCATGTCCGGTCATCAACTAGGTCATAGGAGCTAAAAATAGAAAAAGCTTGTTAACACTCTAGTGGCTGCAGTATGGATTCAAATATTCTGGAAAGTTTGTTCAAATGAAAGCCTTTGGGTCAAAATTGGACCTCCAGGGGTCATTGTATTTCCTTATATGTATTTAGTAACAACTTCAAAATCATCTTGTGAAAATCCCATAGAGTTAGTCTGAGCTTAGATATTTGGGACAAAACATGTTCTAGTGGATGTCTACCATGTTTATTAAAATAAAACCCCTAGGGTCAAAATTGGCCCAGCCCCAGGGGGGTCATTGATTTTCCTTTTATATACATATACATAGTAAAAACTTAAAAAATGTTCTAGTGGAGGATGCTAGTAAAAACTTAAAAAATCTTCTAGTGGAGGATGCTGTCCTACTGACAGCTCTTGTTTGCTGTTCTTCTGCAGTATTAACCTGTTAATAATTTAAACCTGTTAATTTTTACAGGGTACCAGTGAGAAGAGCAATGATTGTGAGACATGTGGTAGGTCTCTGGCTGAATGTATTGGTCACTATGGTTTTGTTGATCTTGAATTGCCATGTTTTCATATTGGATTTTTCCGTACAACAATCACTGTTCTACAAATGATCTGCAAGGTAGTTTTCCAATTCTTAATGTTATTTATAAATATATAGAATATGAAAGGATTGAAGACGGTACTTTTGTTATCCTTATCCTTCAGGCATCTCAATTATAAATTGATATCCAAATTTGAAGATATTTAACACAAACCTACTGGCATATAGCGATTCACTTCTGCCTGGGTGCGTGTAAGATATAGATTATATAGTGAACTTCAAAAATCCTCTTGTGAAAAACCACTAGTCTAATTTCAACCAAACTTGGCAGGATCCTTGCAGGGCCGGCAAAATCAATTGTCCCACAGCCTGTACGGACAAGTGAAGATTTTCAAGAATTTACTATGTAAATATCATACGGACAAGTTAATAAATGCTTCACATGAAGACAAATCAGATTTTGCCGGCCCTGCCTTGGGTGATAGACTTCCAAATTTGTTCAAAGGATTGATTAGAAATGATCCTCAGATGGTCCCCTTTTAAAGTTGTCCACAGGGCTCCAGATAAGATGCGTATACGCGTAAATTACGCATGGAAATAACACGTTTACGCATTCAAAACAAAATTTAAGCGTATGAAAACGCACACAAAAATCAGGTTACGCATTGAACAACATTTCTTTCGCGTAAACGTAACCGAAAGTAAACTCTGATTAATTCATTTTTAATTTCGTCTGAACGCTTTGCAAGCGTCTACCGGTAACTTCCTGTAGTTCCGACCATCATCGGTTGTTATCCTATGTATAGTATGGTGGTGGAATTAACTTCGTATAAATTCCTTGCAACGTCTAACAGTAACTTCCTGTAGTTCCGACTATCATCGGTTGTTTTCGATAATCGTATGTATAGTAAGGTGGTGGAATTAACGCAATTTTATAAAAACATCCGGTACAATGTCGCTGTCAAAAGTTAACACGATTGACTCGTATTTTCAGCCGAAAAAAATCGACCCGAAAATAATTGTGAAGTTTATAATCAATGAAATAATTAGCGCTGCCATGTTTGAGCAACAGAAACATGTGTCAGCCTCAGATAAAACGTATGCTGTTTGGAAAGACCTGTTCCCGTGGATTGTCATAAATACAGAAGACCCGTCACAGGTTAATCTTAAATGTTCATTATGTATAAAATTTCAAATGAAAAATGCATTAACTACAACTGGTTCTAGCAATATTCAATAATCAACCGTTGAGAGACACTGCGAATCTGCGGACCACCAGACTGCTACTAAAATGTCATTGAAATTAGAAAGTTCTAAAAAAGATCCTACGCTATTAGATCAAGATTTAGAAGAGATAAAAAACTGTATATTGTTGGATTCAGACATTTTTGATAAGATCGGTTTACTCTCTCATGAATAATGAATTACCAATTGAAAAACTTGATGCAATTTTGGAACTTCAACGGTTAAATTCATTAAATATGCCATACAGAAATTTGAGCTGGACTACTATTACAGAAATTCAAAATGTAATTGCTGCTGGTTTAAAGAAAAAACTTGTTGTGGTGTTGGGGTACAGGTTCAAGCAAAATTTGCCCCATTTGTAATACAAACTCATTGTATAGCACACAGATTAAATTTGGCAGTAACTGACTCTATTAAACAAATTGAACCACTAAAGAAACTGAAAGAAAAATTTGCAAACCTTTACCATTTCATATCTGCATCAGGAAATAGGACATTTGCCTTAAAACAAATGCAGGGGTTGTTAGATGAGCCTAAGCTGTCTGTTAAAGAACCATATTCCATTCGTTGGCTGGGTCTTAAAAATGCTGTTGAAGCCGTCTATGAATCATATGGAGCCATACTTGCAACATTGTCTAGCATGGCCGATGAAAATTCTACAGCTAAAGGTTTATACAAGTACTTTGCTTCATATAAAACGGCATTACTTTTAGCTTTCATGTTGGACTTTCATACTATCCTGGGTGTCCTATGTTGTGAACTGCAGGCAGAGAACCTTATTTTTAGTGATGTTCCTCCCCTAATAGACAGTACTGTGGAGAAGATTGAGTCAATGAAATCAGAAGAAGGTGATGGATTAGTAGAGATGAAAAACAGCATTGTAGTGAAAGATGAAAAGGCCTTTTATAAAGGAGATGAGCTTAAATATTATAGCAAAGATATAGAATCACAGATTTCAAATGTTAAAAATAATTATTTGGATAACTTGGCCAATAATATTAGAAGAAGACTAAAAAAGAATGATAGTGACACTTTAATATACTTGAGTCAAGTCTTAGAACCATCAACAGTATGTCATCTTCCTGCTGATACCAGTAAGAGTGCTCTAGAATGTTTGGGAAATCAGTTTGGAGTTGAAAAAACAGTGAAACAAGTGGAAGGAGATCTGATTATAGGTATTTCAAATTGACATTTAACTGATGTAAACTTTTTCTTATTTAAAACAATAAAAACTTAACTGATATAAACATGTTTACTTGCAAAACAACATTGTCCAAAAAAATTAAACACAAAGTTTATATATTTATTTTTAAAGAATCTGATATCTAGGACTTTCAAAATATATTATAATGTCACTATATTGCTTCCTGGTTTATTTAAATAATAACATATTGCATTTTATATTACAGGGACAACAGAGACTGTCACTCATGTTGAGCCATTATTAGTGGAAGGAGTGGAAAGGGGTTTATGGGATGGTAAAAGGCACATATAGGAACATTTCCCTCAGTGACCTGTGCCAAAGATTATGTGTGAAGCACAGTCTGACATATCCAAACATGGCTAAGTTAGCTAAAATAGCCTTATGCATGGAGATTTCAAGCACAGAGTGTGAGCGCTCATTCAGCACTCAAAACAGACTTAAGAGTAAATTAAGGTGGGACTTTTATATTAAAGTCTATCTATCTTTATATTTTGAATTTATGCAGGTGGATCTACTCTAGTATATAATTTTGTTAGTAAACTAAGAAAAGTTTATAAGTAAATATTCTAATTATTTTTAATGCAAATGCACATGATTTTATGCATTCTTGAAAATTGTTCTTGAAGTATATATGTTGTTGTTTATCTCATTGCAGGTCATCACTCAAAGAGATTTCACTTGAATCACTGCTGAGGGTTAGCCTTTATGGAGAGCCAGTCTCAGAGTATGACCCTGTACCAGACACAAGACAGTGGTTGGTCAAGAATCGCAGAAGGAAGCGCCTGATGCAAGATTATAAACCAAGAGAGTCCAAAAAGCAAAAGAAATGACTGACATATCTTGTATAATGCAGTAAACATGGAAGCATAATAAATGTTTTACTCTTTTCCATACATTTTAAGGAGTAAAAATACTCCAGCCAAATTTCAGATTTCAAGTTTTACTCATTCACAAAAAAATCAATGAGTAAATACTCATTGCCCTAAAAAATTATCTGGAGCCCTGTGTCCAAATGGTTCTGGTATGTTACATAAGTAGGTCATAGGGCCAGAAAAGGAAATTATAAAAAGCAAATTTAAAAAATGTTCTTGTCAAAATGTACAAGGTCCAGAGCTTTGATATTTGGTATATGACATCATCTATAGGTCCTCTACCAAACTTGTTCAAATTTTGTCCCTAGTGTCAATAAAATTTTATCCCTTGTGTCAAAATTGGCCTTGCCCTGTGAGTCATAGGTTTCCATTATTGCTCCTTGCTTTTTGTGTTTACTATTTTTTTTTGTCCATGGGCCCGTATTTTATCAATTAATCCCTTCGATTTACAGATAAAAATAAATTCGCATTCAATAACTCCTTCCGATTATTATATTGGTTCCCCCTTCGGTGATTTGCAGCATGTCATATTAATGAATGAGAACCGGAAAGCAGTTCTGCTGTACATGAATTCGAAAGCTATAAATAGCTATAAATGTTCTGATTTTTGACACTTAGGCTATAAATTTGATATTTCCCTTTTTTAGTTGTACATGAAATTATAATTTGTTACATTTTGAATTACATTTACACACAGCATATCGAGTATACTATTAGTGATCGAATTTGTCAATATAAAGATTTCAGGCATAAGACTTTAATAATTTTGCTTTTGATAATTATTCTTAATTTATATTCATGAAACTAAATGTTTAATAATAACATGTTGATATATTGGTTGTTTTGAAATTATTACAACTTTAGTATATAAGATTACATTTCATTGGTATTGTTGGTAATGCACGGAGGTAAGTTATCAACTTTTTGTGCTTCAAAATTAACTCTTTTAAGGGCATGACTGGTGGCATGTCTGGTGTCCGTACTCAACAGCGAAAACTGCATTTTGTGCCCGTACGGGCGGATAGACACTCATTAAGCATAGACTATAGATAGATAGATCGCATCATTGGTAACAACAGAAACTTTGATCTGCAGTTTGAAGATGAGGTGTATTGTTAGCTCGACTTTTTTTTTTGAAAAAAAAAGTAGAGGTATTGTTATAGTCAGGTCGGCGTTGCCGTTGCCATTCCCGTCCGCAAACTTGTACCTGGATCATAACTTTTTTATTTCTTGGTGTATTGTCTTCATACTTGGCCACAACAACCCTTGGGACAAGACCTTTCAGTAGACCACACTAACCTTGACCTTCATCCATAAATGACCTTGACCTTCAAGGTTAAAAGTCCAATTTTTGCTTGTTCATGCTGTTATTGGCTGTAACTTTGTTATTTTTGAATGGATTGTCTTCAAACTTGAACATAATAATCTTCAAGGATATCCCTTAAAAATAACCCGCCAGACCTTGACCTTCACTCATAAATGACCTTGACTTTGAAGGTCAAATTATTGAAATTTTCATTTTTTTGGCCATTATTGGCTGTAACTTTGTTATTTTTGAATGGATTGTCTTGAAACTTGAACATAATAATCTTCAAAGATAACTGTTAAAAATATACCGAAAGACCTTGACCTTCACTCATTAATGACATTGTCTTTGAAGGTCAAATTATTGAAATTTTCATTGTTTTGGCGGTAACTGACTGTAACTTTGCTATTATTGAAGGGATCAACTTCATAGTATAACAGAACATTCTTAAGGACCAGACCTTGTTGTTTATCAAACTCAAATTTGCTTGGGCTCTTTAATGACCTTGACCTTGAAGGTTAAATTACTGAATTTTCTCAGATTTGTGCATTAAATAACCATAATTATATATTTATTGGTGTGTGTGTGTGTATACATATATATTTACAACAACAACAACAACAAGAATTGCGTAATGTTTCTATTTATAGACTTGCGTCATTGTTTCTATTTATAGAATTGTGTCATTGTTTCTATTTATAGAATTGCGCCATTGTTTCTATTTATAGAATTGCGTCATTGTTTCTATTTTTAGAAATTGCGTCATTGTTTTTATACCCCCGCACAACAAAGTTGTAAGGGGGGTATACTGGAATCAGCTTGTCCGTCCGGCCGTCCGCCCGTCGGGCGTCTGTCGGTTTTTTCTTGTCCGCCCAATAACTTAAGATTCCTTTGACCCACAGTCTTCATATTTGGCATGGAGGTTAGTCATGATGAGTAGATGACCCCTATTGATTTTGAGGTAGCCAGGTCAAAGGTCAAGGTCACAGGGGCCTTGACTTCAAAAAGCTTGTCCGCCCAATAACTTAAGATTCCTTTGACCCACAGTCTTCATATTTGGCATGGAGGTTAGTCATGACGAGTAGATGACCCCTATTGATTTTGAGGTCACTGGGTCAAAGGTCAAGGTCACAGGGGCCTTTACTTCAAAAATCTTGTCTGCCCAATAACTTAAGATTCCTTTTGACCCACAGTCTTCATATTTGGCATGGAGGATAGTCATGACGAGTAGATGACCCCTATTGATTTTGAGGTCACCAGGTCAAAGGTCAAGTTCACAGGGGCCTTGACTGCAAAAACCTTGTCCGCCCAATAACATAAGATTCCTTTGACCCACAGTCTTCATATTTGGCATGGAGGTTAGTCATGACAAGTAGATGACCCCTTTTTATTTTGAGGCAACCAGGTCAAAGGTCAAGGTCACGGGGGCATTGACTATAAAAAGCTTGTCCACCCAATAACTTAAGATTCCTTTGACCCACAGTCTTCCAATTTGGCATGAAGGTTAGTCATGATGAGTAGATGACCCCTATTGATTTTGAGGTCACCAGGTCAAAGGTCAAGGTCACAGGGGCCTTGACTTCGAAAAGCTTGTCCGCCCAATAACTTAAGAAACCTTTGTCCTACAGTCTTTATATTTTGCATGGAGGCTAGTCATGATTAGTAGATGACCCCTATTGATTTTGAGGTCACTGGGTCAAAGGTCAAGGTCACAGGGACTTTGACATTAAAAAGTTTGTCCGCCAAATAAATTAAGAAACCTTTGATCCATAGTCTTCATATTTGGCATGGAGGTTAGTCATGATTAGTAGATGACCCCTATTGATTTTAAGTTGACTGGGTCAAAGGTCAAGGTCACAGGGGCCTTGACTATAAAAAGCTTGTCTGCCCCATAACTTAAGATTCCTTTCACCCACAGTCTTCATATTTGGCATGGAGGTTAGTCATGATTAGTAGATGACCCCTTTTGATTTTGATGTCACTGGGTCAAAGGTCAAGGTCACAGGGGCCTTGATTTCGAATAGTTTCTCGGCCCAATAACTTAAGAAACCTTTGACCCACAGTCTTCATATTTAGCATGGAGGTTAGTCATGATATGTAGATGACCCCTATTTATTTTTATTACACTGGGTCAAAGGTCAAGGTCACAGGGACCTTGACTTAAAAAACCTTGTCCGCCCAATAACTTGAGATTCCTTTGGCCCACAGTCTTCATATTTAGCATGGAGGTTAGTCATGATTAGTAGATGACTCCTATTGATTTTGAGGTCAATGGGTCAAAGGTCAAGGTCACAGGGGCCTTGACTAAACAAACCTTGTCCGCCCAATAACTTGAGATTCCTTTGACCCACAGTCTACATATTTGGCATGGAGGTTAGTCATGATTAGTAGATGACCCTATTGATTTTGGGGTCACTGGGTCAAAGGTCAAAGTCACAGGGGCCTTGACTTTAAAAAGCTTGTCCACCCAATAACTTGACATTCCTTTGGCCCACAGTCTTCATCTTTTCGTATTTGGCATGGAGGTTAGTCATGATTAGTAGATGACCCCTATTGTTTTTGAGGTCACTGGGTCAAAGGTCAAGGTCACAGGGACCTTGACTTAAAAAACCTTGTCCACCCAATAACTTGAGATTCCTTTCACTCACAGTCTTCATATTTGGCATGGAGGTTAGTCATGATTAGTAGATGACTCCTATTGATTTTGAGGTCACTGGGTCAAAGGTCAAGATCACAGTGGCTAAAAACCTTGACTTAAAAAACTTGATTTTTAAATTTTCACATTTGAAGCATGGAGAATACATGTCTTAGCAATGCACTGGCTTAGTAACCTCAGATTTAGCAGGGTGGTTGTCCTTGAGTTCTAAATGGCCACTGTTGATTCTGACAAAGTGGTATGCGGGGGTATTCATGCCATGACAGTGGCAGTTCTAGTTATTTTTAGAAATTGCGTCATTGTTTCTATTTATAGAAATTGCGTCATTGTTGCTATTTTTAGAAATTGCGTCATTGTTGCTATTTTTAGAAATTGCGTCATTGTTTCTATTTTTAGAAATTGCGAAATTGTTTCTATTTTTAGAAATTGCGAAATTGTTGCTATTTTTAGAAATTGCGTCATTGTTGCTATTTTTAGAAATTGTGTCATTGTTTCTATTTATAGAAATTGCGTCATTGTTGCTATTTTTAAAAATTGCGTCATTGTTGCTATTTTTAGAAATTGCATCATTGTTTCTATTTATAGAAATTGCGTCATTGTTGCTATTTTTAGAAATTGCATCATTGTTTCTATTTATAGAAATTGCGTCATTGTTGCTATTTTTAGAAATTGCGTCATTGTTGCTATTTTTAGAAATTGCGTCATTGTTTCTATTTCTAGAAATTGCGTCATTGTTTTTATTTTTAGAAATTGCGAAATTGCGTCATTGTTTCTATTTTTAGAAATTGCGTCATTGTTGTTATTTTTAGAAGTTGCGTCGTTTCTATTTTGAGAAATTGCGTCATTGTTTCTATTTATAGAAATTGTGTCATTGTTTCTTTTTTTAGAAATTGCGTCATTTTTGCTATTTTTAGAAATTGCGTCATTGTTTCTATTTTTAGAAATTGCGTCATTGTTGCTATTTTTAGAAATTGCGTCATTTTTTCTATTTTTAGAAATTGCGTCATTGTTGCTATTTTTAGAAATTGCGTCATTGTTGCTATTTTTAGAAATTGCATCATTGTTTCTATTTATAGAAATTGCGTCATTGTTGCTATTTTTAGAAATTGCGTCATTGTTGCTATTTTTAGAAATTGCGTCATTGTTTCTATTTCTAGAAATTGCGTCATTGTTTTTATTTTTAGAAATTGCGAAATTGCGTCATTGTTTCTATTTTTAGAAATTGCGTCATTGTTGTTATTTTTAGAAGTTGCGTCGTTTCTATTTTGAGAAATTGCGTCATTGTTTCTATTTATAGAAATTGTGTCATTGTTTCTTTTTTTAGAAATTGCGTCATTTTTGCTATTTTTAGAAATTGCGTCATTGTTTCTATTTTTAGAAATTGCGTCATTGTTGCTATTTTTAGAAATTGCGTCATTTTTTCTATTTTTAGAAATTGCGTCATTGTTGCTATTTTTAGAAATTGCGTCATTGTTTCTATTTTTAGAAATTGCGTCATGTTGCTATATTTAGAAATTGCGTAATGTTTCTTTTTATATATATATATACAAAATATATAAACAATACTAATGTGACAAGACAGACCAACTAAATTTATAAAAAGGAAACGTCAAGATATGTTCAAACCTTTCTATGTTTGCGTTTAGAAAAAGTAAAAAGTCGAGTGTTGCCCCAGCCTGGCGGTGGCTCTTGTTTTTTATGCCCCCGGGCATATAGTAATTGAACTGTCCGTTCGTCTGTCCAAGTCATTTAAATGGACTAAAGGCCATCTAACTGTAAACAGAACAAATGACAACAATAGAGTTCATTCCGTAACAATAGAATAAGGGGCCATGGCCCTCTATTAAACAAAAGGAAATAACAAAAGAAATGGCCCTTTTGTCCATTTTAGTGGCACGTTTGTCTGTCTGTACGAGGTTAATCTAGAATGGCAAGTTGGATTTTTTTTAAGTTCTACCTGTACTAATGGCTTCATAATTTACACACTTACTAATCCATACAAAGTATATGATCTTGTCAAGTTACATAACTATGGCTTCCATTTGCACCAAGTTATGGCCCTTTTCAGCACTTGGAAAATGAATAATGGTTAACCTAAACGGGCAAGTTGGAAATATCTTATGTTCTATCTGAACTAATGGCTTATTAGTTTTGACACTTACTTATCAATACAATGTCCATGATATTGCCTAGTTATATAAATGTGTCATCCATTTTCCCAGTAATTTCCCTTTTTATCACTTTGAAAATAGGGCCTTGTATGGTTAACCTATTTTTCCGCCAAGTTGGATTTATCAAAAAATTTCACCTAATTACTTAATTTATTTAATGATATCATTCATATTTGGTAGGTGGATACCTTTAACGGTCCTCTAATTTTTTGTGGCGTTAGGCGTCTCTAGGTCAAGGTAACTTGTGTAAATAAAGAAATCTAAACATT